AAAATGGAAAGAACCTGAATACGTAGAGAGGAAACAATTACCTGTGAGGAATGCTAGTAGGGACACCATGTTTAGCCACAGAATCATATTTGCACCCTGTAATGAATTGAGAGGAGCTGATAGGATAGAATTCAGGATAATGCACAACTTTGTGTTGCTGGGTGTAGCCTTAAAAGGAAAAGCGACTGGCTCCTTTAAAGGGGAAATTGTGACTCGATTTACATATTGGTTGAGATAAAAGTGTTCCTCAGTGCATTCACCTTATAGTTTCCTTGCCCAATACCCTGCAGGGTTGATTTTTACATAAGTTTTCAGTTTTAAGAAAAGTGAAAGCAATCTTTACATTAAAATAATTAAAAGAATTGCCAAATAAAGTAAATTGCACTATCCTATAAAGTCGCCAAGAGTTGCACATGACTAAATGGTTAAAACAACCACAATTAAAACAAAGACTTGGAACATGTCACCACTTCTGAAAAGTGATTCAAGATTACAGATTATGAACGTGCACTGAGAATTTTTGAAAGAGACATGTTAGAGACAGAACATGAGAAGAACAGCTCATCTAAGGTTAGAAAAGATTTTACATTTCCCCCCTCCCTTTAATATGTCTTTTTGAGAAAAAAAAACCTAAAAGAATGGTGCATAGACCAAGACACAAGGCACAACTTATAAGTTAGGCCTCAGTTGAAGAAATGAAAGGGAAAATCACTGGTCTCAGCCTGTAGGATGTTCTCTGCTTATTAAATTGGATTTTAATTTGACAGTTGTATAAATATTTGTTCTGGTTGCTATTTTGACATCCCTGATCTTGTTGTCCTTTACCATCTTCTGGAATCCATTTAAGCTCATGCCTACTGCTTCAGTGACTCCATCCAGCCACTACATTCTCTGTCGTCCCCTTCTTCTATTGCACTCAATCTTTCCCAGCATCAGGCTCTTCTCCAGGGAGTCCTTCCTTCTCATTAGGTAGCCAAAGTATTTGAGTTTCAACTCCAGGATCTGGCCTTCTAAAGAGCAGCTGGGGTTGATCTCTTCTAGGACTCACCGGTTTGAATGCCTTGCAGTCCAAGGAACTCGCAGGAGTCTTCTCCAGCACCATAGTTCAAAGGCCTCAATTCTTTGTCGCTCAGCCTTTCTTATGGTCCAACTTTCACATCCATACATTGCAACTGGGAAAACCATGGCCTTGACTATACACATTTTTGTTGGCAGGGTGATGTCTCTGCTTTTTACTATGCTGTCTAGATTTGCCATCTGAGGTGCTCTTGGAGCCCAGGAAGATAACATCTGTCACTACCTCCATTTCTTTCCCATCTATTTGCCAGGAATTGAGAGAGCCGGATGCCATGAGTTTGGTTTTCTTAATGTTGAGTTTCAAGCCAACTTTTGCACTCTCCTTCTTCACCCGCATCGAGAGAGACATGGTTAATTATTAGTACATAGGACAATTGAAAGGATTTCATTTGAGTAAATGTATATCTTGCTTTGCAATGTGAACATTCTGTGGATAATTTTATTTGCCTGCATACCCAAAATTGCAGATCTATAAGACAAGGCAGTCAGATTTTTTTCCACACTTTAATTTCCCTGTGAAGCAAGGCGCTTAGGGATTCCAGTTGTTCTCACCCCCAGATGTTAGTGAGAGATAACCCAAGTCAAGACACCCTTCAAAATATTCACTCTCAGCGAGCTTCTAGAAGGGAAGGTTTACAATGTCCAATATTTACCTCCCTTGGTTCATCCCAGTTGAGGGGATAGATTAAGGGGACTGAATACATATTAATGTATTAATGTATTAATGTAGAAGAAATCAAAAAGGAGTAACATACTGTATACAATGGAATTAAACTGAGGAGAGTGATAACCCAAGTCAAGACACCTTTCAAAATATTCACTCTCAGAGAGCTTCTAGGAGGGAAGGTTTACAATGTCCAATATTTACCTCCATTGGCTCATCCCAGTTGAGGGGATAGAGCTTGGATAAAGGGGACTGAATACATATTAATGTATTAATGTATTAATGTAGAAGAAATCAAAAAGGAGTAACATACTGTATACAATGGAATTAAACTGAGGAGAGTTATCAATACTGAAAACAAATGGACAGAACTGCAAAACATAAACAAAGGATGAATTGTAAGTGTTAGATCGCGCAGGCAGTAAGACACGAGTCGAGTGACAGTCAGCTCTTGGTTTATTGGCAAGGCATAAGGTAAATCCGGACTGGCTCTCTGGGCCAGGGGAGCCCTCTTTTATGGGATTCCCCTGGCTTGTAATCACACAATTCCATTGGCTGGCAAGACCCTGTTGCTAGTTAGCCAACCAGCAACGGGC